TTTGCTTGTTGTTAAGGTTTTTTTCAGATTTGCTTGATTTAGTTGACCCATTTGTGAAAAAGACTCGCGGCGTCGGCGGGAGTCGAACCCGCACAACAGGGAATGCCTTTGCGCAGCCAACGCTCTACCGATTGAGCTACGACGCCAAGCCGTGCGCCGTGAATTTAATCACACTTGGATCGATTTTACCCGTTCAACTTACCGCTTGTGTTAAATCCACCATTACGGAACAGTAAGCTGACCGCCCAAGCAGAATTTCCTAAGAAATCATCTAGAATCTACCAGAATGACTGCTAAGCTCACTTAATTGTAAGGGAGGCTGGGCAGATTTGCTTGATTTAGTTGACCCGATTTTGAAAAAACTCACGGCGTCGGCGGGAGTCGAAACCGCACAGCAGGGTAGGCCTTTGCGCAGCCAACGCTCCACCGATTGAGCTAAGACGCTCGCCGTCTGCGGTGAGTTAAATCAAACTTGGAGCAATTTTATCAGCCCAACTTACTGCTATTATGGAATCAAACATTGCTTTGTCTGTTAAATTAGAGGCCCAAAAGCTGCTTATTAAAGAATATTTCATTTCAAGTCTATTTTAGGAAAGGCAAACAGGCTGGCTTTAGATGAAATCGGAGGGTGTTTGATATCCAAGTAATTTACTATGCTATTTCATTTGCAATTTTAGATAGTATCTAAGTATTTAGGAAGTCAATCATAAATATAATCAACACCACCATCATCATCATCATCCTCACCATCATCATCCTCAGCATCATCATCATCATCATCATCATCATCATCATCATCATCATCATCATCATCGATCATCATCATCATCATCATCATCATCATCATCATCATCATCATCATCATTAACCATCATCATCATCATCATCATCATCATCATCATCATCATCATCATCATTATCGTCATCATAAATATAATCAACACCACCATCATCATCATCATCCTCACCATCATCATCCTCAACATCATCATCATCATCATCATCATCATCATCATCATCATCATCATCATCCTCACCAGGCAAATATAATAATATATGGCAGGGTAGAGTTAACAAAAGTTTAGACAACCAATCAGTAGTAATTAGGAGGAGAGGGGGGAGAGATGTTAAGGGATCAAAGGGGTCAGATTCTAGTCATAATTAGGGGACAGAGAAGGCGAAGAGGGGAAGGGGTCAGAAAATTAGTTCATGTCACGCCATC